AATAATCCATTTGCAATTACAACACAAAGGAAAGAACCTTTCTAGAAGTCTAAGGAAAAGTTTACGATGTTCTTAAGGTTATGGTTTGTTTCAATAAAAAATTTCAAAACCTTAAATGGTGCAAAAAGTACTAACATCTTAACTATAACCAGATTTCATATTATCTGGACAAGAGAAGCTGGTTAAAATATCCTTAAAAACACCATGATTTTTTAAAAAGCAAATTGCAATTTTCCTAAATATCAAGAGGGCAAGAAATGAGAAACAGCCATGTGGTTTCACAAACTCCTTACTTAGAGGCTAACAGGAAAGAGAAATTTGTACCAGATACTGAGGGAAAGATTAAGGCTGTCCCCTCAGTCAGGGCCAGTAAGGAAGCAATATAAATAAGAGCAGGATAGGAAGACTGTAAAAAGAGTAAAGAAAACACAAGCATTCAGTGGACTTGTAAAGCACTCAATTTATTTGAGTATTTATTTGTGAGAGAGAAGGAGGGGAATTACAATAGAGGACAAACCAAGAGCATACTTCCAAAGACAAAGGGCAAAGTGAATTATTAGTATGCACCCGGGCACCAACTTGCCATCACTTCCATCCAGCAATACTTCCTTGCCCTTATTTTGGTAACAACCACTAATGAGAACTCAAGGCATCTTATCCCTTCACCTTGGAGCCCAGGGGGAAAAGGGCTGCTGATGTCTGCCAAGTCCGATCATCAGGACTCCATTTCCATGAAGTAGTTTTGGGCCAAATACTCAGTAAGTTTTAAAGTGCTCCTTTGCCCGAATTCAGACTGCAAGTATCTCTCTCCCTTGGTGATCTTAATGATGAAGAATTTGGCTAGTTAGGGTCCTGGTTATTTCCCTCTCTTCTCATAGAAAAAACATGACTCACAGTACTGACGCCATTATGATAATACACACTTACTCTCAGAAGAGGATCACAGTATCCAACTGCTTTTAAAGGAAGAAAAAAGAAACAACGGAAGAATGAAATTTCAAAGAGTAACAGCCAAATGGAATTGGCTGGGCCCTGAACAGTGAAACCACTAGTTCTGGAAGCAGGCATAAAACAAAAAGAACCTGAGTGCCCTCAGGTTGCTGCACCTGGGGGGGTTGGGGAATTAGGGGGGTTGGGGAGCAGAGGCAAAACAGCAGCCTCTTCATTTAAAAAAATTTCTAGAAAAAAAGGACTTCTGGACAAGATGGAGGCATAGGTGGAAACACTGTGTCTCCTCATGCAACCAAAATTAAGTACAACAAAGATTTAGAAACAAAAACACAACCAGGACAGACAGAAAATTGAACTGTACGGATGTCCAACAACCATTCAACCAGACTGGTTAAAGGGGCGGAGTCAGCGGCTGGGGGAGAGGGGTCTTGGCAGGAAAAGACAGTGGCAGCCAGACCCCTGGGAGCACAGGTGGCACAGGGCTGACTGGGGTCACACATCTGCGTGCAGATTAATTAGGCAAAAACAGGCAGCAAGACAGACCACGCAACCCAGGGCCCCAGCACGGGGAAATAAAGCCTAAAAACACCGACTGAAAAGGGGCTCAGAGAAACTCCCAGCCTCACAGGAGAGTTCATTGGAGAGACCCACAGGGTCCTAGAAGGTACACAAGCCCACCCACCCAGGAACCAGCATCAGAAAGGCCCAATTTGCTTGTGAAAAGCAGCAGAGGGGACTGAAAACCTAGAGAGAGTGGAACAAGTGCCATTGTTCCCTCTCGGACCCCGCCCCCACATACAGTGTCACAACCCAGGAAATGGGTTATCCCACCCTGGTCAACACCTAAGGCTCTGCCACTCATACGTAACAGGCATGCCCAGACCCAAACATTATGGCTCAAACAAAAGAACAAATCAAAGCCCCAGAGCCAGTACTTTTAAGTGACCAAGAGATAGCCAACCTATCAGATGCACAGTTCAAAACACTGGTGATCAGGATGCTCACAGAACTGGTTGATTGTGGTAGCAAATTAGATGAAAAAATGAAAGCTAAACTAAGTGAAATTAAGGAAAATGAACAGGGAACCAACAGTGATGGAAAGAAAACTGCTACTCAAATCAATGAAGTGAACCAGAAGGAAGAAAGAAACAACCAAACAGAAAAGAATGAAGAAACAAGAATTCAAAAAAAATTAGGAGAGGCTTAGGAACCTCCAGGACACCTTTAAACATTCCAACATCCGAATTATAGGAGTACCAGAAGGGGAAAAGGAAGAGCAACAAGTGGAAAACTTATTTGAACAAATAATAAAGGAGAACTTCCCCAAGATGGCAAAGGAAATAGACTTCTAGGAAGTCCGGGAAGCTCAGAGAGTCCGGAGGAGGGTGGATCCAAAGAGGAACACACCAAGGCACATCATAATCACATTAGCCAAGATTAAAATGAGGGAGAAAAGTCTAGAAGCATCAAGAGATAAGGGGACAGTCACCTACAAAGGAATTCCCATCAGACTGTCAGCTGATTTCTCAAAAGAGACCTTACAGGCAAGAAGGGGCTGGAAAGAAGTATTCCAAGTCATGAAATCCAAAGACCTACATCCAAGATTGCTCTATCCAGCAAAGCTTTCATTTAGAATGGAAGGGCAGATAAAGCGCTTCTCAGATAAGGTCAAATTCAAAGAGTTCATCATCACCAAGCCCTTATTATATGCAATATTAAAGGGACTTATCTAAGGAAAAAAATAAAAAATATGAACAGCAAAATGACAACAAACTCAGTTATTAGCAACCACACCAAAAACAAAAACAAAAACAAACTAAGCAAACGACTAGAACAGGAACAGAATCACAGAAATGGAGACCACATGGAAGGTTAGCAACAGGGGAGTGGGAGGAGGAGAGTAGGGGAAAAGGGACAGAGAATGAGTAGCATAGACGGTGGGGAGAAAATAGGGGGAGGGCAAGAGTAGTGTGGGAAATGTAGAAGCTAAAGAACTTATGACACGTGGACATGAACTAAAGGGGGATGGATGTGTGTGGGAGGGGATGTGCAGGGTGGAGGGGAATGAAGGGGGAAGGGGACAACTGTAATGGCATAATCAATAAAATAGATTATGAAAAAATTTCTAAGTTGGAGAGTCCTTCGGAATGAGTACAGACACATCTTGGTACTCATCAGCTTCAGAACTCATCAAACCCTGCACTCTTCACATTTTGACGAGAAAAATATGTTTCAGCACTTGGTGCTTGCTCAGGACTCACCACACTTGCTAGAACTCATATGAGCCACTACACTGCCCTGCAAGAGAGAGTGCTTCATTGTTCAGTACTCGTGGGTTTAGGCACTCATCATGAGTTCCAGAAGGAATTAATGACGAGTACCGAGGTACCACTGTTCTTAGCACCAAGCTACTACCTAGTCAGCACTGGAGCAGCTGCCTGCGTCTTACGCAGTCGTCTCCGGAAATCACCTCCAGCTCTATTCAGGGTGTCAGTGAGGTGTGCTCCCCAGCCCCTATCACAGGGTATCTGCTGAATATTCTCCTTTAGTAATCTTCTGGCATTTCTTCTAGCCTTTAATGGGGACTGTGCCAGAAACTTCTTCCTGATTAAAAAAAACTAATAGTCTAGTTGGCCTAGCCAAGTCAATTTTTTCCATTTCATAATATACATTAAACTCAATCTGGCTTAAAAATATACTCCCTGCATTTAAAATCTCTTCGAGATCTATATGTTGAAATATTCCAATTTTCATCGCTACCTGCTCTTCCATTTCCCAGAATGTGGTCAGGCAGAGCCCTTGCTCATGGCTCCTCACCATGTGTTTGCAACTGCTGTCCTCTGCATTCAGAGGACACATGGCTTACATTTTGATCAGAGAAAATAAGTCTAGCTTTTTAAAAGGTTTATAACCTTTTTTAAAGGTTATAAATTAATATGCTGCATTTAAAAAAACACTTTGTAACGTAAACATGATTAAAAAAGGGGTCACGTACTAAACCCGACAGGCTGGGGGGAGGCCCAACGACAGGCCGTCAAGCCCCAGAAGCCACGGTGAGCCCACGGGCGGTCTGAGCAGAATGCTCCCCACCTACCAGTGGGCCACAGGGCGCAGTGGTGCCCTAGGCCTGTAGCTTCCTTGACAAAGACCAATCTTTAACTCTGAAACTGTCTACTGTCTCTGTGCATCTAAGATGAAACACTTTTGAAATGTCAGAGTCATCTTCTTTTCCAGACCCCAGAACCCTTCATTGTTATCTTGTTCCGCCACATACATCTCCACGTGCTGTAGATGTTAACTACCCGGTACCCGCCAATGTAAAAGACGTATGTCTCTCCATTGTGCTTTTTATCCTCTCTTGGGGGTATCCCAACTTTGCTTTCTCCCGCCCCCCTAATCTGCCACCAGTGAATTTCTTGTAACCCTCGTAACATATCCTCCTTTGACTCGCATGTGTAAAATAAACTGCAAAGCTGCCATTCTCCAGGGCATTTTCTTAATCAGCTCAGATTGTGCTTCCCAGTGACTGTCGTCAGGTTAGCTCTTAACTCAAACTCTTCAAGACTCTTTCTTAGGCTGGACGTCCTTGGAACATAAAAATAATCTACTTACCAAATTTAAGGTGATCCATTCCCACCACCAATTACATAAATACTTTCCAAATGTATAGAGTTAAAGAAAAATCCAGGGTAAAATGAAGTGCTTTTTGTAAGGATTTTAAAAAGCTGGCTAATTCTGTTCACATCAACCATAAATTGGGGCGGGGCTCATCACAGGACATTTCAGGTTAGTTATGGACAAACTCAAAACCTACCAGGAAATGGTAACAGCAACCACTGACCACAACAATGACCAGTGGCATGTTGTCCCTGCTGGCACCCAGGAGCTAAAAGTCGGGGGAAGATCCCCTTTCCTAAAAGCTGACACCGGTTAGAAACTGAGAAGGTACCAAATGTGTTGTGTGATTAATTTGGACCACAGAGAGAATCCCAATGCCTAACACTATCAATTCACTAGAACAGAATGTCAGGTGGAAGTCCAGTACTCACCTTTTTCAGGAACACACACTGCGAGTTTCCTGACACCATCAACCAGAACATCTGGTGTGTTGCCATGTCCATCTTCCGAGTCACTGTCATCACCATGAGCCTCCACAATGACGTCAGGACTGTCATTATGGCCTTTGGAGGACTGTTGCAAACGGCTTCCACAGAGCTCCTCAGGGAGATCTGATTCATAGGCCCCTTCTGTTTCTTTGTCACTGCTTTCTGGTTTAATTACCTGAAGAAAATAAAAAAGTTCTGCTAGATCACTGGAGGGAAGAAAGGAAAAGAGCAAATTTTTCATTTTTCCTTCCTAAGGAAAACCTGCCCATTTGGAAGTTCCAGCACTGGACACTCGCCACACAGTTCAAGCAGGACCTTTACTGTCGGAAGCAGACTACCTTACAGAGATGATCAATCCAGCAGTGCCAGGTTGGCACTCAGTCCTTCAAGGTGCCCAAGATCAATGCCACATCTACTTCTCATTTTCCTGACCTACACTTTCATTCCCTCTCCCTTAAAGGCCCCAAATACCACAAGTACCATGCTGCTTTATACGGTTCCTCGAATGGGATCAGCAAGCCTGCCAGGTAAAGAAACAAGAACTCAACGCAGCATTTCACTGCATTCCCAATGAAGACACAGAATAAAATGTAAGTGAAGAAAACAAAAGCGTGAATAAAAGTTTACAAAATGTTCTCATGTAAAACTCAAACCCTTAATTCTCCATTTTGAGGCCCGAAACCAGGAAAGTACACAACTCATGGACATTTACCAATAAGAATGAAGCATTACACAATGTCAAATATTTTCCATAAAACAGCAGTAATTAATAAATAAATCATGTCACTCGAAATGCTGTCATTAACATAAATTAATATGCTGCATTTAAAATGTATTGATTCTATCTTGCTGTCTCGGCACACACAAGAAGAGAACGAAGGTCTGGGGACACCATCGGAAGGCCACAGGACACGGAAGGCGCTCTAACACCGCCCCGTGCTGGGTCGGAGCGAGGACTGAGTGAGTCCTTAGAGAAACAGCTAATTCAACTCTGGAACAGAAAACGAACAAAATTATCCTAGAACATCTTGTCATAACAGGAAAACAAGGAAGCTATCAAAGGCTAATACAATCTTGTCTAAGACTCGGGAATCATCATAAAAGGGTTCTCTGTTGTTCGACCTTAGAAAATTCCAAGCATTTATCCTACCTTTCCTGTATCTCAGGTTAACCAAATAGTCGATAAGGTAAAGTGGTTCTTCACAGAAGAGTTTTAGCTAATTAAGAAGAAAAGAAAGACGGTCAATACCACCATATTACCCTCCCTTTTGAAATAATGGATTCAGGATCTGATCAACAATGGTTACTGAAACCAAAAAGTCCTAACCTGATGGGGATGGAGTTTTATAACAGATGGAACACAGTGGCAACGCCTGAACCCGCTAATCAACATAAATATCTTAAAAAGAGGAAGAACCAAAAAGTGCATCCTCTCGAACTGTAACAGGAAGTACATACAATTAACTATGAAGTGCTTTTCCCACAAAAGTTCAATTTAAATCTGATTTGGTAAAGGAAACAAAGTAAGAGTAACAACACCATGAAGAGGATCCTTTTATACTTAATCCCTAGGAGAATTCATCCAGTTTCATGGCTTTGAATCTCTCTATATGCTATTAATTACCAGAATTAAATACCTATCTTTAACTTTTTCCTTGAATTCCAGACTCCTGTTCAGTTCCCCACTAGATATTCATTTGGATGTCAGCTGACACCGGAACCAAGAGAGCCCTTGGTCCTCACCAGAACCCACTCCTCTCCCAGCATCCCTGCTCTCAGCCAAAGGCACCAAACTAGAGCACGACCCTTGGCTCTCCCTCTCACACCCCAATACAATCCATCAGGAGAGCCCATAGGCCCTTCCTGTAATGCGTATCGTCTTGCCATTTCCGCTGTTACTACACAAATCCAGGCAACCTTTATCTCCTTGTTGAACTACTGCGATAACTGGTCTCCTGGTTTCCATTTTGGACGAAAGCAACTAGAGTGACCCTTTTAAAACATAAATCAAATCATGCCCTCCTCCCAACAGCTTCCCAACATCATTCTATCACCATGTCACAAGGCCTTGTCAAATCGGCCCTTACCTATTTTTCCATTCTCGTTTTCTACAAGTTCTTCCTCTGCAAATTATACTCCAATCCTAGAGATCTTTTTGCTATTCCTAGAATACTAAAGCCTTCCATCTTAAGTTTTCACATTTGCTACTCCCTCCATCTAGAAAACTCTTTGCCCAACTATTCATAGGGGTCACTCTCTTCGTTTTGTTCAGGTCTCTGCTCAAATATCCTCCCTAGAAAGGTCTTCCCTGATCACATTAATTAAAAGAGCCCCACCTCACTATCATTACTCTACCCTGCTTTATTTTCCATCACTGTACTCATCCCTACCTGTGAATACATTACATAATAATTTACTTCCTGTCTCCCAAATAGAATTTAGGTTTCATGAGCACTGAGGCTATTTTATTTACTGCTGAATCCCAACAGTTGAGAACAGGATTCAGTAGCCATTCAAATACATACTGATTGATTCAATAAAGGAAGGAAGGAGGGCAGGAAGGAAGGAACTAATTAATTAGGAAATGATTTGTTCAGAGTCTCTCTTTCCTGATCAACTGTAAAATCCGTGAAGTGACCAACGTTAGGCTTGACAGAGTGTGTACTCAAGTCTCATTTGAATAAACGAAGGACCAGAGATGGTACGCTGCTTCTAACATTTCCAGATGTCAATCTATCCACCTCTCAAGGCCTAGTCCAAATGACTTAGATTTTCTATGGCCCAGAATCCACCACAGTCTTCCCACTTCCTTCCCACCCCATCACCCTCACCTGCCCTAGGCAAATAAATTCTCCATTTTCTAAAGTCCCAAAGCACTTTATCTATGCCTCTTCTATGACACTGCCCAATTTCTTCCCTATATTAGTATTTTACATCTATGATTTACCTCATCTGTTAAGACTATATGCTTATCAATTATATATTATACATCTTTGTATATGCTACAGAAACTTGACAATCTAGGTACTCAATATCTGACAAATAAACAGATGAATACATGGAGAGAATACATGGAGAGAACAATGAAGAAAGAAACATAACAGATCATCAGGATGCAAGAGAGCTTTCAGGACAGTTTGCAGACACAAGAGTATGTCTGCAAATCTGGGGGGAAAGGGACACGTCTTATAGTCCGAATGTACGTTACCTGACTCACTGGGAGCGGACGGGGAGGAGGGGCCCGCCTATGTTATTTATGTTATTAAATTTTTTACCACATTTTTTGCTTCAAAATTTCTTTTCCTATTTTCCTCCTCTAAAACCTAGGTCTCCATCTCAGAGGAAAAAATGGGTTCAGACACATCACAACCTTACAGCAGCTGAATAGCAGAGGTGTGACAGGCACACAGATCTAGGGCTCTCGGTCCAGTGCCCGCGGTCCTGCACGGTCCTATGGGAGGTTTCCTGCAAACAGATTCAGAGCGCGTTTTGCGCATACAGCTCCCACCACGAGCATCACTGCTTGCAGTGCCTCTTCACCTTTTGTCTGCCTGGCAAATAGTCAACATTCAAGACCCAGCTCTCCTGTGAATGTTTCGCTGACTCTACCCTCCCTCTCAAGACACGTTCTATTTCCTTCCTTTGTTCCACTATGATTCCTTAACTATTCTTTCATTACGAGATTCCTTTTTTCTCTTTATTTTTCATTATAAGGTTTCTTGATCAGGCTATATTCCATTTCTTTGCTTGCATATTTTCTTCTCCAACCAGGCAGAAAACCATGTCACATTCATTTTCTATATTCCCCAGAGGGTCCCTAAATGTTGGGCATATAAAACATGCTCAATAAATACTGGTTTGCATCTCTCTTCTTCTGAAGAGAATGAGAAAGACCTGAACCAGCTATAAAAGAAACATTCTTTAAAAGTTGCAATAAATGAATGAAATAACTACCAAGCAGTAGAAGCCAGCTGAACAAAGATGCCCGTCACCACGATATGCACGTCTGGAGACCAGCAGTCTATCAGTTCCTTTATCAGTCTAAACTTATCGCCATAAGGAGCCAACATAAACACATATGCAAATGACTAAAACTGGAAGCTATTTAAATAAATGCATTTTCCTAAAACAACTCTAAAGCTTCATATGTAAATTATAACTCAAGTTTCAATATAAACACAAAATAACCATAAAGTTCACCATTCTCCAAGTTGAAAACAACAGTTTTAGCAAGAAAAGTCACAAACACCTAGATAAAGAAGAGCAAGTATAGACCTGAGCACAACTTCCTGATTTCCTCCTCATCCATCCCTCAGAAAGTGGGAAAAACCATCCAGTCGACCGTGAGCTGTAAATTAGACCAACTACCAAGAGCAACTGAAACTTACCAGAATCAAGAATCTGGCCACTTCCAAAGTGTTTGGTATTGATTAGATTTTTTTCCCCTTCCTTTCAAAATTAATATAATATATTGCAAAACGGGACAGCAACAGAAAGAGACCCTGTTACCAAACAATTCAAATGGAATGCTCAACAAAAATATCAAAAACATTTCCATCACACATGGCCCACCCAAACTCCAAGCATGAAGCATCCCATTTAGTCATATAGAAAAGCCCTTTGTGAGAAGGTACAGAAAATAAGTAGCATAGACAGTAGATAGAAAATAGATAGGGGGGAGGGTAAGAATAGTAGGGGAAATACAGAATCTAAAGAACTTGAGACACATGTTCATGAACTAAAGGGGGGGAATGGTGGGGGGGAATGGTGGGGGGTGCAGTGTGGAGGGGAACGGAGGGGGGAATAGAATAAACGTAATGGCATAATCAATAAAAAAATTTTTTAAAAAAGCCCTTTGTGAACACAAAAGTCATCTTTGATGACTTCTGACGATGACTTTGAAGAAGGTTATTTTAAATCTTATAAAAAGAGTAAGTCTAGATTAGCATTCTGTTCCAGCAAATAAATTCTATTACATCCCCCTGGGATTGGGGGTTGCTATTGGCTCAGTATAACAAAGCTTCTCCTAAAGATTCACACAGACATGTGCGCTCACACTTTCTGCCGGAAGGGCGGTTTAGTTTAGCACGTGCTGGCTAAGGACCGTGCCCAGGAGATAATGCCCTGCCCCTCCCACTCCCTGTGCCTCTGGTTTAGACCTCAAGCATGTCACAG